CTGAACTCTGGGCCTGGGCGCTGTCCCTCAGCTCTTCAGCTCAAGTCTAGTGCTCTACCACTTGAGCCACAGCGCCACTTCCGGCTTTTCTCTTTTTGCATATGTGGTGCTGAGGAATGGAACCCAGGGCCTCAGGCATGCAAGGCAAGCACTCTACCACTGAGCCACCTTCCCAGCCCCCGCCTTTTTTTTTTTTTAATCAGTCATGGGGCTTGAGCTTCAGACCTGGCTACTGTCCCTGAGCTCTTTGCTTAAGGCTCTACTTCCAGTTTTTCTGGTTAAGAGTCTAATGGACTTTCCTGTCCCAGCTGGTTTTCTCCCTTAGATTTTTTTGTTCAAGTCTGACCCACTACTACTTAATTTAAACCATTTCCAACAACCTAATTTTAAAATGAACAAAAGATTCATGTACCAAAAAAGATACGGGAATGACCAGTTGGGCACTGGTGGGCACTGGGCTGGTGGCTACTCCGGAGGCTGAGATTTGAGGATCAAAGTTAGCCAGGACAGGAAAGTCCTTGAGACTCTTATCTCCAATCAACCACCAGAAAACTAGAAGTCGAGCTGTGGCTCAAAATGGTAGAGTGCTGGCTTTGAGCAAAAAGCTCAGGGACAGTGCCCAGGCCATGAGTTCAAGCCTCATGAATGACAAAAAATTATATATATTTGGAATTTGTTGGAATTCAAAATCAGATATTTCCTCTTGTGGGACTTTACAGTCTTTGTTATACCTTTAGAAACTTGCCTACCCTGATTGCTGCAATGCTTCAGGCTTTTTACTGGTAATTTATCTACAAATTTGTTTTCACTTTTACTTCCTCAAATTTATTTTGTCAGTGCTTCCCAGAAAAGAGGAAAGAAAGTGTGGGTACTTTAGTCCACATTCTCCTCCTGTTTGCCTGGGACGCTGATAAAGTTCAAGGTAAGTCAGTGCCTATCCCTGGCATACTTGACTCTTGCTTCTCTTTGGAGGCAGGGGAATAAGGATAGGCGGTGTTGCAGAGGCAGGTTTAATTCCTAGCAGGTGCTAGTGGCTCACACCTCTAATCCTGGCAACTCAGGAGGCTGACATCTGAGGATCTGTCCCAGTTCCAAGCCAGCTGGGGCAGAACAGTCTGTGATACCCTTAACTCCAACAAATCAACGAAGTGGAGCCTGTGGTTCAAGTGGTAGAGTGCTAGCCTTGAGCAAAAAAGAAGTTTAGAGACAGTGCCTAGGCCCTGAATTCAAGCCCTGGGACTGGGACAAGAATATAAGTAACGAGAGAGAGGGAAGGAAAGAAGGAAGGAAGGAAAGAAAGACAAACCCAAGTTTTCTTTCTTTATCAGATGAAAGAGAAAATCCGGGTCTTCCTTCCACTTCTACCATCATCATAAACAGTGAAAACATGCTCTTTATAATAAAAATCCCCAATAACTTTCCTTTTCCCTACTTCTTTACAAGATGGCCAGTGCAGAGGAGGCACCTGAGGAGAAGACTTCCCGGCATGAATATGGCTTGCTTTCAGCCCTGTCTGGCTTTCTGGGCACAGATCTAGTTCAGCTTAGAAAGGAAGTAGATGAAGAGCAGCACAGAGCCCGCAAAGAGGTTAAGAAAGGTTTTAATGCATACATGCGCAATGAGGAAAAGCGGTTGAAGACTTTTATGACCTATAACTTGGACAGTTGCTGGACACCCCAGGAGATGGCAGCTGCTGGCTTTTACTTTACTGGAATAAAATCAGAGATTCAGTGCTTCTGCTGTAGCTTAATCCTCTTTGACACCAACTTCTGGAAACTTCCCTTGGGAGAGCACAAGAAATTTCATCCCGATTGTGAGTTCCTTTTGGGCAAAGACGTTGGCAACATATCCAAGTATGATGTAAGAGTGAAGAGCCCAGCCTGTGAGCTGAAAGGGGACAAAGCTAAGTACCAAGAAGAGGAGGCCAGACTGGAATCCTTCCAGACCTGGCCGTTTTATGTGCAGGGGATACCCCCTCAGGAACTCTCCGCGGCTGGCTTTGCTTTCACAGGTACCTTGAAACCCTTTTCTGAATGATTTCTCTGCTATACTAAGTTTAGATAACATAGTTTGGTTGCTTTTTATAGTATTTTTGTGATTTGTCTCTCATTTGTCAATTTTGTTCTATTAGATATCATTTATCTTATTAAAATTCAACTTAAGTAATTTTACTTTTAATCTGTGTGTGTGTGTGTGTGTTGAATATGTCAGTATGAGGGCTTTGAACTTAGGGCTTGGGCACCATCCCCTAGCTTTTTCACTCAAGGCTTAGTGCTTTAGTAATTGAACCATAGCTTTACTTAAGCTTTTTGATAGTTAATTGGAAATAAGAGTCTCACATACTTTTCTGCCCGGGTTGGCTTCGAACTGTGATCCTCATATCTCAGCTTCTTGAGTAGTTAGGATTACAGGTGTTAACCACTGGCACCTACTCTTTAATTTGTCTTAGGAACAGCATGTGTAATTCCAACTACATAGATTTTTAAGGTTATTTGTCCTTAAGTTTGGAAAATTCTATCTGTAGCCAGGTACGGTGGTACATGGCTCTAATCCTGGCTGTGAGAGAGACAAAGATAGGACAGAGGTACAAGGTGAATCCTGGGCAAACATGCAAGATCCTATTTGGGGAAAAAAGAATGAAAGCAGAAGACTGGGAGTGTAACTCAAGTGGTAGAGTGCCTGCTTGGCAAATGTGATTGGCAAGTGTGAGGTGGTCTAACTATCACTTCAGGCAAGTATGGGGTCTCCGGACTGTGTCACTACAGGCAGGCCTGTGTTAGCATGCCATTACTGCTGTCCTGAAAGCTCAGAGCATCATGTGACCTCTGGGAAGTCCCTAGAGCAGACATACTGAATGCAGGAGATTAGAGATCTGGAAATGAAGCAGGCCCATGGATGAGGGATGGGGGTCCATGCTCAGAAAGTAGTCATTTGGGGTAGCAGGCCTGTGGGTGAGGACACCATTATAATGGTTATGAGAGAATACAGGTGTTGGTTGTCCACAAAATAATCACATCACAATGCTTTCTTCCCTGTGTAGGTAAAAGGGACACTGTACAGTGTTTTTCCTGTGGCGGATGCTTAGGAAATTGGGAAGAAGGAGATGACCCTTGGAAGGAGCATGCCAAGTGGTTTCCCAAGTAAGTGGATTTAGGTTTTGTTTGTTTTTGCTTTTTGCAGTTGTTTTTTTTTTTTTTTGCCAGTCCTGGGACTTGAACTTGAGACCTGGCCACTGTCCCTGAGCTTCTTTTACTGAAGGCTAGCATCCTGCTACTTGAGCCACAGTCCCATTTCCAGCTTTTTCTGAGTAGTTTGTTGGAGGTAAGAGTCTCACAGACTTTCTTGCCCAGACTGGCTTTGAACTGTGATCCTCTGATCCCAGCCTCCTGAGTAGCTAGGATTACTGGCGTGAGCCACTAGTGGCCCGGCTGTTTTGATATTTTATTGTTTTTTGGGGGTTTTTTTTTGGTCCGGTCATGGGGCCTGAACTCTGGGCCTGGGCGCTGTCCCTCAGCTCTTCAGCTCAAGGCTAGCACTCTACCACTTGAGCCACAGCGCCACTTCCGGCTTTTTTTTTCTGCTGATGTGGTGCTGAGGAATCGAACCCAGGGCCTCAAGCATGCAAGGCGAGCGCTCTACCACTGAGCCACCTTCCCAGCCTGAGAGTACATTTCTTTTGGGACAGTGTCACCCTTTGCTCTGTTTTAAAAACCTTTCCAGAGACAAGGGCTGGTGGCTTACCAGCACCTGTAATCCAAGCTACTCAAGAGGCTGAGATCTGAGAATCAAGGTTGCAAACCAGACAGAGCAGACAAATCTGAGAGACTCTTTATCTCCAGTGTACCAGCAAAATGCCGGAAATGGAAGTGTGGCTGCCGTGGTAGAGCATGAGGTCCTGATTTCAAGCTCCAGTACTAGCACACATACACACAAGAAAACCTTGCCAACACTAGGAATCAAAATTCAAATGATGCATCTCTGGCAGCTCTGCCACTGTCTAATGAGGCTCTTCCCTTGGCAGGAAGTCTTGCTCCCAGTTATCCATTTTATATATCAAACCATCTATAACATGGATTTCATTTTCCTCAGGGAGAACATTTTGTGAATTCCTGGATCCAGAGAGAATTACCTATGGCATCAGGTAAAAACTCAGGCATATACCAGTAGTTTTGCTTTGTTTAGTTCTTCTTATGCTTTTTGTCCCTTTAAACATTCAAGGTTTAGGGGCTAGGAAGGTGGCTCAGTGGTAGAGCGCTTGCCTTGCATGCATAAGGTCCTGGGTTCGATTCCTCAGCACCACATAAGCAAAAAGAAAAAAGCCAGAAGTGGCACTGTGGTTCAAGTGGTAGAGCGCTACCCTTGAGCTGTAGAGCTGAGGGACAGCGCCCAGGCCCAGAGTTCAGGCCCCATGACCGGACCCAAAATAAATAAATAAATAAAATAAACATTCAATGTTTAATTCCTTTGTGGGAATAGAAAGGTTGCATTCAGATTAGTCAGTCTTTTTTTAAAGACATCTCCCCTTTCTTTCCATTGTGCTCAGCAGTAATTAGATTTTATATTTCACAGCATGATCAACTATGCTCTGAGAGTTACAGCAAACCACAGTAGACTTTTGCCAAGATGATAGAAGCCCAGAGATTGTTTGTTGCTCTAGGACCTGGTCTTGAAATCAGAGCCCAGCTAATGCCGGTGGCTCATGCCTATAATCCTATCTACTCTGGAGGCTGAGGATTGAGGTTCAAAGCCAGCCCGGGCAGGAAAGAACTCTTATCTCCAATAAACCACCAGAAAACCGGAAGTGGCACTGTAGCTCAAGTGGTAGAGCGCTAGCCTTGAGCTGAGGGACAGTGCTCAGGCCCAGAATTCAAGCCCCACAACCAACCAAAAAAATAAATAAAATAAAAATGAAATCAGAGTCCAGCTGTGTAGCTGACACTCTACCACTTGAGACCCACCACCAGTCCAGCATTTTTCTGGTTAATTGGAGATAGAAGCTCTCAGACTTTTCTGCCCTGGATGACAATGGAGTATGTACTTGTAATCATTGTTACATCAAACTCATTTGTTGAAATGGAGTCTCAATAACTTTTTGCCCATGCTGGCCATGAACCAGAGGTCTTCCTGAACTCTGCTTCCTGATTAGCTGGGATTTCAGGTGAGACACTCCGTGCCCAGCTTGAAAACATTCTTAAATGGCTCAATGTGCTGTTAAGGAATTAAATAATATAAATTTCAAAATTGAATAGCCAGGTACTAGTGGCTTATAGCTGTAATCCTAGCTAATATTGGAATCTGAGAATCTCAGTTTGAAGCCAGCCTGGATAGGCAATCTGAGACACTTTTATCTCCAGTTAACCACCAAAAAGCTGTAAGTGAGCTGTGGTTTAAGTAGTAGAGCACCAGCCTTGAAAAAAAAGTCTAAGGGACAGCACCCAGGTCCTGGGTTTAAGCCTCTATAACAGCACAAAAATAAAGTAATCGCAAGAAATCTAGGGTTAGTACCAAGTATGGTAGCACACACTGGTGACCCTAGCACTTAAGAATCACAAGTAAGAGGACTGAGTGTTCAAGGTCAGTCTGAGCTCCGTAAGCTTTCTCTTTTCTTTTCTTTTTTTGTCATGGGGCTTGAACTCTGGGCCTGGGCCCTGCCCCTCAGCTGTTCAGCTCAAGGCAAATGCTCTGCCACTTGAGCCACAGCACCACTTCTAGTTTTCTGGTGGTTTATTGGAGATAAGAGTCTCACAGACTTTCCTGCTTGGGCTGGCTTTGAACTGTGATCCTCAGATCCCAGTCTCCTGAGTAGCTAGGATTACAGGCGTGAGCCACCGGAGAACTGTTTTGTTTTTGTTTTTTCTGTTGTCAGGATTTGGACTTCACACTTGCTTGACTTAAACAAGCAAGCAAACAAAATACTGGATGGGCATGGTTGTACATCTCTGTAATCCCAGCTACTTGGGAAGTACAGGCAGGAGAATTCAGAGGTCAAGACCAGTATGGGCAAAGTTAGCAACACTGTCTCAAAAACAAAATATGAACAAAAGATGCCAAATATAGGCCGCTCAGGGTCGCAGTATCAACTCCCGATACTGCAGCCCAGGCCAGTCAGTGTAGGAACCTTCTCAATAAAGTTACTTCTTTGTTAACAACAATAACAAAAAAAAGATGCCAAATATATTGGCTCAAGCCTGTAATCTTAGCTAATTGGAAGGCAGATATCAGGGGATTGTAGTTAAGGTCACCCTGGGCATAAGAGTTCATGAAAATTCGTTGACATGATTGATATGTCTGTCAATGGATGAGAGACTTGGTATTATGGAGCAACATGTGATCAACCTTACTTCATCTAAACTCCTGCCTGGTTTTTGTTTTTTTTTTTTGCCCAGTCCTGGGGCTTGAACTCAGGGCCTAGGCACTGTCCTTGAGCTTCTTTTTGTTCAAGGCTAGAACTGTACCTCTTGAGCCAAGGTACTACTTCTAGCTTCTTCTGTGTATGTGGTACTGAGGAATCAAACCTAGGAGCTTCATGCATGTTAGGCACTCACTCTACCACTAAGTCACATTCCCAGTCCATTCCTGTCTGGTCTTCTAACCACCCCGATTCTTTTTTGAAGCATACATATTCCATCTGTAAATAGGGGGCTATAACTTGAACTTGGCAATATCAAAGCTTGCTGACCTCACTCTATACTTTTTATTCAAGCTTACAACAGTGACAGTGTCTTCGCTAATGAAGAACTACGCCTAGACACTTTTAAGAACTGGCCTCACAAATTCTCTTCGAAAGTTTCACTTCTGGCCAAAGCAGGTCTCATCTTCACAGGTGAGTCAGTAGGTAGTACCTCTTCCTTTGCTTCACCAGCTAAACCTCATATGACGTTATGGTCCTGAGCTTACTTAAGTCTACACACAACATTCGTTCATAGGTTTGTTTGTTTTTTTTAATTTTTTTATTGCTTCATAAATCACCTCCTAGATTTTTCATTCCTCTCTTAGGTGGTCAGTCTTTGAACTTGAAGCCTTGAGGCCCAGATGAACAATGACTACAAGTATTCTGTTTGGAATGATTCTCATTTCCTTTCCTTTCCCCATATTTCTTTCCCTGCTTCCTACACCCCTAGACAATAAGAAACTGTCTCAGGATGCTATATATCTGCCCCCACCTCTCATTCCCCACTTTTCTCTTGATTACATATCTTAACTGGATCATAGTCAGATGGCCACGACTATCTCTACAGGAGCTAGGAAAGCGAACATTCTTCCAGGGAGGCAATGTGCCCTGCTAAGAATTGGGGTTTCAAGATGGGTGCCAGTGGCTCATGACTGTAATCCTAGATATTCAGGAGGCTGAGATCTGAGGATTGAGGTTCAAAGCCGGCCCAGGCAGGGAAGGCTGTGAGACTCGTATCTCCAGTTAACCACCAGAAAACCAGAACTAGCGCTGTGGCTCAAGCGGTACAGAACTCACCTTGAGCTGAAGAGCTGAAGGACAGTGCCCAGGCCCAGAGTTTAAGCTCCATGCCCCCCCCAAAAAAGAATTGGGGTTTGTCTATGGAGAAATGGGAAAAGGTGGGATGTGGCTAGGTGCTGGTGGCATGCCTGTAATCATAGCCACACAGTAGGCTGAAGTCTCAGAATCCGGGTTCAAAGCTAGGCCTCACAAGAAAGTATGTGAGACTCTTCTTCCATTAACTACAAAAAAAAAGCTGAAAATAGAGGTCTGGCTCAAATGGTAGAGTGTCAGCCTTCAGTGGAAAAAAACAAGTGACAGTGTGTAGGCCTTGAATTCTAGCCCTGATACTAGAGAGAGAGAAAAAAAAGTGGGATAAGGAGATCAACCTCTGATACTCTGCTAAAAGGGAAAAAAAATCTCAGGAGATTTATTTACACTATAAACATGTAAAAGTGTTGTCTTCTCTCTAGTGAAGTCACCAGGGAGGTATGTTCTGCACTATGTAACCCACAAAGCTGATTCCCACACAGCTCAGTCTGTACCAGAGAATGAAAGGCATGGAGAGAGGATTCCACACCCCTTCCTTGCTCCTCTTCCTCACACCAAATGCACTGGAAGTTACAGAGGAGTTGCATGTAGCTCTTTAACTGAGTGATTCTGCAGGTCTCACAAATATATTAGAGCAGTTCAGGAAAGGGAGTGTCATTGTTAATCTGCCTAACAAACATAGTCCATTGGCACAACAAGCCTTAGTACCTTACCACCATAAGCCTTTGAGAAGAGAGCATTCTGCCCTCTCTCCCTACTTATTATTGTGTTCTCTTACCAGCCTTCCCCAAGGCCTCTCTCCAAAGTGCTCACTTACTCCTTCTCAAATACTCCATCCCTCCTTAAGGGCCTACTCATCCTGCATGCTTTGGAAGTCAGATTTTTGGCTCAGTGTGAAGGATCCTTTCCTCTGCCCCAGCTTAGCCATGTTTATCAGGATCTAAGAGAGCAAGGAACATGATGAACCTATTATTTCCAGTTTGAATAGCAGGCACAACCTCATACTCATTTCCTTCTAAAGAAATACAGGCTCACCAGGTGCTGGTGTCTTATGCCTATAATGCCAGCTACTCAGCAGACTGAGATCCTAGGATCAAAGCCAGCCCAGGGAGCAAAGTCCCTGACACTCTTACCTCCAATTAGTTACCAAAAAGCCAGAAGCAGATCTGTGACTCAAGTGGTAGACTACAAATTTTAAACAACAACAAAAAAAAAGCTGAGAGACAGTATCCAGGCTCAAGAAGATCATCCAAGTATGCAATATGAAGTGCAGGGAGAAGAAAGAGTACCCAGTGTCTACCGATTCCATTGCTCACCTTTCACTGGTAGACTACGTCATGTGGGCCTCCCTAGTGACCGGTCAGCTTACACTTTGAAACAAATGCAATTGAAAATGCAAATAGGGTGCCACTAACAAAGGTCTGGGAGTTATCATCTACTTGTCAGGAGATGAATGTATGTGTTATTGACACAAATCAAATTTCCTTCTTTCTAGAAATTAAGGACATTGTGCATTGCTTTTCCTGTGGCTTGTGTATGGAGAAATGGAAAGAAGATGATGACCCATTGAAAGATCATATCAAATATTCTCCCAGGTGAGTACGATTTTGAATGCACTCAAATGACTTATCCATTCTGTGGAAGACATCTTTACCTCCTCTGATTTAGACTGAAGAACTTGTCTGTATGTATTTCACCTTCTTACTCTCACAACAGCCTTCCTGTCTAACTGTTCTCTAATTATCGTTGAATCTTGGTTTTGGTTCTAGGTCAGTATTTTTTTTTTTTTTTGGTCCAGTCGTGGGGCCTGAACTCTGGGCCTGGGCACTGTCCCTCAGCTCTTCAGCTCAAGGCTAGCGCTCTACCACTTGAGCCACAGTGCCACTTCCAGTTTTTTTCTTTTTTTCTTATGTGGTGCTGAGGAATCAAACCCAGGGCCTCTGGCATGCAAGGCAAGCGCTCTACCACTGAACCACCTTCCCAGCCCCTGTTTTGATATTTTATACTTGTCTTTTTTTTTTCTTTCTGTGAGAGAGAGTCCTGGGGCTTGAACTCCAGGCCTGGGTGCTATCCTTAAGCTTTTTTGCTCAAGACTAGCACTCTACCAGCTGAGCCACAGCTCCACTTCTGACTTTTTTTTGGTGGTTAATTGGAGATAGGAGTCCCACAGATTTTCCTTTAGCATGGCTTTCAACTGCAGCCCTCAGATCTCAGTCTCCTAAGTAGCTAGGATTACAGTAATGGTGAACCACCAGTGCCCCCCTCAGAAGCTCTTTTTTACAAGCTTCTAGATGAAGCCAGGATTGTCAACTCATCAACTGTCCCTCTGGCCTCTGAGCCAATCCTAACCGACACCAGACCAGTTCTAAGTGTTCAAAGTATAGCATGCTGCTCCTTAGCCCATGGGAGCCAAGCTTTAGGTCCTGGGCTCCTAAACCAGCTCAAATATTATGTCTAGGAGTACTTGTCATTTCATTTCTTAGCCTCTGAACCACAGCCAGCCATACCATTCCCAGGTCATCTTGTGAACAGGACCAGCTGAAGTGGTTCTACTGTACTCTCTCAACACTGAGGTAGAGGTGAGGTGACATTACCATACTCACATAGTCCAGACCCAGAGCTCTTTTTAAAAAATTCAGTGTGCTGGCCGCCGGTGGCTCACGCCTGTAATCCTAGCTACTCAGGAGTCTGAGATCTTAGGATCACAGTTCAAAGCCACCAGAAAACTGGAAGTGGTGCTGTGGTTCAAGTGGTAGAGCACTGGTCTTGAGCTGAAGAGTTGAGGGACAGCACCCAGGTCCAGAGTTCAGGCCCCACAACCAACAACAACAAAAAAATTCAATGTGTATAGATTAATATCTAGTACTTTTTTTTTTTTTTGCTGGTCCTGGGGCTTGAACTCAGGACCAAGTGCTGTCCCTGAGCTTTTGTGCTAAAATTATCCATTCTACCACTTGAACCACAGCTCTACTTTCAGCTTTTTCTGTGATTAATTAGAGATAAGAGACTCACAGACTTTCCTGTCCAAGCTGGCTTTAGCCCAGCCCAGAAGTCAACCTCAAGGACTGGCAAAACAAAACAGAAAAACAAGTACATCGAAACAATGAAAATTCTCCTGTGTAAGTTTTTGGAGTAAGTTTTTCATTTGCTTTTTTGTTTTTGTTGGTTGTAGGGCTTGAACTCAGGCTTGGGCACTGTCCCTGAGCCTCTCTATGTTCAAGGCTAGTGCTCTACCACTTGAGCCACAGTGCTACTTCCACTTTTTGAGTCTTTCATTGAGGATGGGAGTCTCACAAGGACTTTTCTGCCTGGGCTGGCTTTGCACACCGTTCCTCAGATCAGCCTCCTGAGTAGCTACTATTACAGGCGTGAGCCACCAGCAGTCAGCCTGAAGATTTTTATTGAAGTATAAAATTTAATGCTTTTTTTTTTATGTTAGTCCTGGGGATTGAACTCAGGGCCTAAGCAGTATTCCTGAGCTTCTTTTGCTCAAAGGTAGTGCTCTACCACTTGAGCCACAGTGCCACTTCCAGCTTTTTCTTTTTATGTGCTAATGAGGAATCAAACCCAGGCAAAGCACTCTACCACCAAGTCACATTCCAAGCCCAAATTAAATACATTTTTGACAAATCCTTATTGTGCTATAGGACATATCTATCACAGTACTGGAGTAAATTTTAATTATATTTTTAATTGTAGATGTGAATTTCTTCAAAGTAAGAAATCTTCCGAGGAAATTGCCCAGTATATTCAAAGCTACAAGGGATTTGTTGACGTAACGGTAATTATTAAACAACAAACTTTTTTCTCAACTTGTTTTTAATGACATATCTGGATCAGCACAGGACAGGACTCTTTTTCTGTCATAGTTTGTTTCTTCCTTTCTCCTTTCATTCCCCTGCCTTTCATCTGAAGGGTGCATAATAAAAATAAAAATGCATTCTCTTTCTAGGCTAGGGAACTAAAAATTTCTTTTTCTGTGGCTTTTTTTTTTTTTTTTGGCAGATGGGACGATACTGGGGTTTGAATAAGAACCTTGCACACTTGCTTGATTTTTTTTCATTTACAGCTGGTGCTCTACCACTTGAGCTACTGCTCTACTTTAGCTTCATTGGAGATAAGAGTCTCAGGAACTTTTCTGCCTAGGCTGGCTTTGCACCATGATCATTACATCTCAGCCTCCTGAATAGCTAGTACACTCAGCCCAAGGCTGAGTTTTTTTTTTAATTTAATTTAATTTTATTTGTGAACATACTGTGCAGAGGGGTTACAATTACATGGGCAGGATAATGCGTACATTTCTT